AGAAGAAGAAGAAGAAGAAGAAGAAGAAGAAGAAGAAGAAGAAGAAGGGGGCAGCTAGGTGGTGGAGAGCTCTGGCCTTGGAGTAAGGAGGACCTGAGTTCCAATTCGGTCTCAGACCAGAGACTTGACACTTACTAGCTGTGTGACCCTGGGCAAGTCACTTAACCCCAATTGCTTCACCAAAATGTTACTCTCTAAAATTGAAACTAGCAAAAAGCAATGCAAAATGCATGACATCAGCTATCTGTGGAAACCTTGACAGTAACACACCTAAGAAGAGACAATTTACAAATGTGACTATCAAGTACCGTCTGACTCCCAGCTAAAATGTAAGAAGGTTGCTACCAAATAAAAATTATTTTATGTCCATCACATGTTGTGTTGTGATAGTGAAAGCTTTTGGTGACTCATCAAAACATTGGGAAAGTAGAGTTATGTGATAAAGATTTTCTCCAGTTATGTGCAGAAGACAGGGTATCCTGACTAGCTAACACAATATACCAGTATTCTTTATAGGCTGATAGCCCTAAAAATGGGATGGGGAACATCAAATTCTCATAGTTTGGTTAACATATAATAATAATAATAATAATAATAATAATAATAATAATAATAATAATAATAATAATAAATGATAACATATGATAGTAGTAATAATAACTAACCTTTAAATAGTACTATGTTCCAGACACTATGCTTAACACTTAACAAATATTATCTCACAACAATCCTGTGAGGTTAGTACTGTTACTATCCACATTTTACAGGTGAGGAAACTGAGGCAAACAGCAATTAAGTGACCTACCTGGGGTTACAGAGTTATTAAATATTTGAGACTGGATTTGAACTCAGGTCTTCCTGACTCTAAACCCAGCAAATATATTCTACCTATACTCTGACTCTGTACTTATCAAAAAAGCCCTTAGTCCTAATCTGGTTTTGTTTTTCATTTTGTTTTTGTTTTTTGCTTTTTGGTAAGTCAATCGAGGTTAAGTTACTTGCCCAGGGTCCCACAGATAGTAACTGTCAAGTGTCTGAGGTCAGATTTGAACTCAGGTCCTCCTGACTCCAAGGCCAGAGCTCTATCCATTGTACCACCTAGTTGCCACCAATCGGGTTTTTACAAATGGATATTTCTACTAACAAAAGGACTTGCAGACCAGCAGATGCATTTTATTTCTATTGGCAAGGATACCTCTTAGTAAAACTTTGGGTTTATCAGTCAATTTCTTGTGTGTTTAATTAATGTGGATATCTCCCCTTTAAATGATCATCAAGCTGGTTAATGGATAAAATCAAGTTTCTGAATATGCAAAGCAACAGAATAGACCTTAGACCTGAGATGTCACCACCAAAGGTACAAATAACTCAGTCAGAATAACTAGTCATCCTCCATCTCTATTTTTAAATATAGTATATAATAATAAAATATTCAATATTATATAATATAAATATAATAACATTTTAATTTATTTATTTATATTTTAATTAATCAAATTTAAAAAGCATTTCCATTACATCATATAATAAAAACATGATTGCACATGAAACTGCAAATCTAGTATGTACAACTTGCTATTCCTTTTAAATATATAATAAAGCTATCATGTAAATTTCTTTTTTCCCTTTTCTTTTTTTTTTAAACAAATTTAGACATAATGATATGTCTAGAGATAGCATGAAGCAATTGATAGAATGCTGGGCCTGGAATCAGGAAGACCTGGGTTCAAGTCCCACCACTGACACCAGAGGTTTAACTTTGAGCAAGTCACTTAACCTCTGTACCTTAGGAAACTTCCTAAGACTTACATACTCATGTGATAGGTCTAAGAAGGGACTTGAAGAAAACTCAGCTCTCACGAAGATAAGCAAAAATATGAGAAGCTTTTACATCATAGTGTTTCTATCCTTAAGTGCTAAGGTTTTAATTGAAGATGGGACATGCCAGGGTGCCCTCCCATTGCTCAAGACCAAGTATTTAATGAGTGCCTGTCATAAGCAAAGCATTGGCCTACAACAGGAGTTCTTAAACATGGATTCTCAAGAATTCTATTCAAAAATTTCAGGGAATCTGTAAACTTGGGAGGGGAAAAAATGTATCTTTATTGTCACTAATTTTGATCTTTCTTCATAATTTTCTGTACTTTATTTTATGCATTTAAAAATCCTTATTCAGACAAGATGTCCATAGGCTTCACCAAAGATAAGTGATATAAAGTAGTTAAGAATCCCCATGTCTAGAACTTTTGAGGTCTAAATCACTTTTGCTACTACTTAACACTATCCCAATAGGGATATTTCATCTGCCATTCTGCCCCTTTTCTTGTCCCCTCTCTTACCCTCCTCTCTGGGTTAATAATACGGTAAAGAGCTAGAGGTCAGGACTGAGACAGGGAAAGAAAAAGTTTGTGGGATAATTCCTATCCACATGATCCCAGTTTCTTTCCTCTTACCCCTTCTTCAGTTACTGAGGAAAGTATTCACAAAGAAAAGCAAGAGTAATGTAATGGGGAATAACTCTCAAAATAGCATATTTCAATTATTTGTCAATAATAACTTAGCAGGTTTAATTATTTAATTCAAAGACCACATACACAACCCTTGTTTCCAAGAATGGATATATTAATTATATTTTCTTTAGATGACTGTCCAAAGTGAAATTACAATAGGATATTTTGTTCTGCCAAAAGCTATTCTAACCAGATCTTTAACATTTTTCCCCAAAGCAAAAGCCTTTATCCAAACCATTTGAAAGTTAAAAAAAAAAAAGAGTAACAGCAGAAGTTTGTGCAGGAGGCTGAATCAACATACTAAAGCCTCCTCAAGAGGCTAAGAATGATTTTGATAGCCTGTTTTGCATTCAGGTATCTCACAAATGAGTACAGTTCTGTTACAAAAAATAGACTTCTTTAACACATCTATCTGATCTTGAGGAAGACACCTCTCTTCCTGGGCTTTAACTTTCTCATCTGTAAAATAAGGGGTTTAGAATAAATTACTTCTAAAGTTCCTTTAGGGAACTAGTATACTATTTATCATTATTGTTATTATTATTATTATTATACAGAACCTGTAATGTCAATGGAATAGAGAAATCCTAGTGAAGAAAGTCCCTCTATCAGGGCAAACAGGTACCTGTTCTATAATTCACAATCTTATAGATATTCCTGGGACTTGCGTTAGGTCACACAATCACTACATATCAGAGGTAAGACTTTTAAACTCTAGACTTCCTGAATCCAAAATTGGCTTTCTATCTACTCTGCCACACTGTTTGTCCTATGAATCAATGTCATAAATTTTATTTCTGTTGTTTAGTTGTTTTCAGTCTTGTCCTACTCTTTGTGACCCCTTTTGAGGGTTTTCTGGGCAAAGATACTGGAGAAGTTTGCCTTTTCCTTCTCCAGCTCATTTTACAGATGAGGAAACTGAGGAAAGCAGGGTTATGAGACTTGCCAAGGATCTCATAGCTAGTAAGTGTATGAAGCCAGATTTGAACTCAGATTTTTCTGACTCCATGCCTAGCATTCTATCTATTGAGCCCCGTAGCTGCCCATAAATTCTAGTACTACATATAAATTAGTATTGCAACCAAGTAAATCAAACATTCAGGAACATTAAATTTTAGAAGCTAAGTTCTATCAGAGATGTCAGGTCATTTTTTACATACTCAAAGAAAGCCTATAACTAACCAAGTAAAATGGTTATTACAAAGGGCTATGTTTGAGAAGTCTTGCTGCCAAGGTATTTTGGTAATCTATTAGTCATTCTCTTTACCATTTCATTATTCAACCATTCTAAGTAACACATGCTTTTTCAAATTAATAACTAAAGACAGCAAATATAACGAGACATAATATAAGTCATCTGTAGGAAGTGTGTTTTGCATAATTCTTCTTTTACTGCTGTGATTCAGATAAAGGGAAAACACAGTGCTATTTAGATTTGATCATCAATCTGAAAAACACACCAAAAGACAGAAACTTTTGATTTACCACATTCCTGGATACTCACACAGGAGCAAAAAAGAAAAAAAAAAAACCTTCCTTAGATTTATAAGGAAGAAAAAGAAAAAGATCCAAGAAAAAGATCTATGACCCTGCTCATAACTGCCAAGACACTTCAGATTTCTGGACTTCTTACCAAAACAAGAGTTGGCAAAACCATACCACCTGCACCCATGGTATCCTCCAATCCACCTGCCTCGGATGCTGGATGCAAAACTCAATGTGGTACCTGAAAGGCAAACCAGCATGTCACTGATGCTGATGTTCAGCAAAAGCATGTTCACAGGATTTCGAAGGACTTTAAACTTGCAGAAGAGGACGAGCACAATGAAGTTATTGACGAAACCCAAAATAAGTATTAAACCCAGGAATACTGCCACAACCGTGTGACCTGTTCTAGAAAGCCCATTTCTTTGTTTTTCCTCAGAGTCAGTCAGCAGAGTCCCAAAGCTCAGGTTTGTTGTCAGATTGATACTCATTTTAGATACCAGATGAAGAAGAGAAATCCAGTAAAGAAAAATATTTTTTTCCAAATTTTTCAGTTGCCACAAAAAAAAAATTAAAGCCTTCCGCTTTTTACTCTAAGCATTAGTCAATCTGAGAGCAATAGGCCCACAAATAGTTCTAATGAACAGGATCAAAGCCTTTTTTTATCTTTGTAATCTGAAGTACCTGGTTTCAGGAGTAGCCTGAAAGGGGCCTGCTTTTTATCTTGACTGGTTAGAAACCATGACTGAGCAATCTGGAGACATAGAGAAGGCTAAATGTTCAAATGCTTCCTTATGAGGTTGTTTTCCTTATGTAGAAGAGAGTTCCTCAGTGGAGCACTATTACAAATGGCAACATCCAACATCATTTCCTCATGGCAAAGTATCCTAAGGAGAAGAAGAAGGAAGGGAAGATGAAAGTGAAAATGTTCATTTTCATACCAGGACAGGGCATCTGAGTCAGAGCCTATTATAATCTGGAAATGTGACTGCTAAGATTCTTCAGGATTCTTTCATTTGCTACAATATGCCTATACATACATACATGCACACTTGAAAAGGATACAAACATTGAGAAGCCATATGATGTAGTAGGAAGAGTCCCACACTTGAAGCCGGGAGACTTTGGTTCAAATCTTGCTTTTGACATTTATATAATGCTACCAACATGATTTAAATTCTCAGAGCCTCAATTTTTTTCATTTGAATGTAACCAGGGCATGGAAAATTCAAACATGGAAAATCCATGTCCCTGTTTTGTGTCAAATGAGAATAATAGTATTTACTCTTCTTTACAGGGTTGCTTTGAGGAAGGTTCTTGACAAGCCTAAAAGGTAAAGCTTGAAGGACTCTATAAATATGAGCTGTTAGTATTCAGTTGGGACAGTTAGGTAGCACAGTGGATAGAGTGCCAGGCCTGGAGTCAGTAAGACCCGTTTTCCTGATTTCAAATCTGGCCTCAGATTCTTACTAGCAGTGTGACCCTGAACAAGTCATTTAACTCTGTTTGCCTGAGTTTCCTTATCTGTAAAATGAGCTGTAGAAGGAAATGGCAAATCACTCTGGTATGTGCTGAGAAAACCCCAAATGGGATCATTAAGAGTCAAACATGACTGAAATGACCAAACAGTATTCAATTAACTTGATTTGCTGTCATCAGTCATGATCATGCGGGGAAATAGGAGCTACACAAAGCAGGAAAAGAACACTGACCACAGAACAGTAACCTTGGAGATCATTTTACCCAACTGTCTCATTTTACAGATGAGGAAACTGAGGTCCAGAGAGGTAACACAATTTTTCACATAGTCAATTAGTGTCAGTGCCCCAAGCATGGATCAGGTCTCAACTGTCAGTTTATGCCATGCTTCTCTGAATGTGGCTGAGAAGTATTCTTTCTTTCAGTCTCAGTTTCATAGACATTACTTGACGGATCATTTACTCACTTCAATTTCTGATTAATCTTCTTGTCCCTTTGCTGCTTTCTTATTTGTTCAACAAATGTCTACAGAGCTCATCACTGAAATTAACTTGATCTTAGGACAATAGATTTAGACTTGGAAAGGACTTTTGAGATCTTCTAATACAAATCCCCCAGAAAGTCTGACTTGACTAAGGTCAAACAGGTAGTAAGCCACAGAGCTGGGATTTTAAGCCAGGTCCTTTGATTCCAAATCACTCTGTCTACTGCATTAGTCACCAGGATTCATATTCATGTCCTGTCTCCTCTAGGTACTATTGTCTGTTTGTTACACTTTGAACAAATCAATTGATCTCTCTAAGCATCAGTTTCTTCATCTGAAAAATAAGGAAATACTTGTACTAACTACTTAGAGGTTTACTATGAAGAAAGCACTTTATGAACCTATAAAATGTTGTAAAATATAAAATATCATATGACTATGTTGAATGAACTGGATTATACTTTTCCTCCTATTCACTGAGGGTTTCCACAAAGACTTGGTGCTTTGGCAGATGCTTTTTTTCCCTTCTACATGCTTGAGGATCTTGGTCATTCATTGTTTTAAATTAGCACCTGCCTGCATCTGACTCTCAAATCCAAACTCTGATTAATCTCATACATTTGTTGACTCGGTAGAAATGAAAAGAAAAAGATGACTTTTCATGTTTGCTATCATAGTCTTTCTGCCTTTGAAAAATAGAAGGCTTTTTGGACTTCTGTTATTTTGTCTAGTAAGGAAAATTTTCATTAGCAAATGATCAATATTGAAGCTATTGCCTAAAATTAGTTTTTCCTTTTTAATAACTTATACCTTGAGTTACCTGTCAAAGTAAATTTAAAATATATGTGTATGTATATATTAAAATACATAAATCTATGTATGTATATGTACATATATAATATATATCTATATCTACATATTTTCTAAAGTTTTTCATTCCTGGGAAATAGATTGTTACAGATAAAATATTGACATACCAGGCCTGGAGGCAGGAAAATTCATTTTCCTCAGTTCAAATCCGGCCTCCAACACTTACTGTGGGACCCTGAGCAAGTCACTTAACCGTATTTGCTTTGTTTTCCTAATCCATAAAATGAACTAGAGAAGAAAATGGAGAGCCACTCCAGTGTCTTTGTCAAGAAAATCTCAAAATGGGGTCACAAAGAGTCAGACAAAACTGAAATGATTGAACAACAACCTTACCCAATGCAAGTCACACAAAATATCAAAATGTTCAATAAATGGATATTTTGCATGTTATTTTAGTTAAAATATTAATTATGAACTTTTAGTTCTAAATTATTTTACTATTAAGAAAATTAGCATCACCATTTCAAACTTTATTTAATAAATAAAGGAATCCTACATAATAAAGTTCTTGTTAAAAGCAGAATTTTGAAAGATAGTTGGTATCAGTGCTGTTGCTGAGTGCATATCTGGGCCTTGGGTGGAGTCCTTTTAATCTCTCTTGAATTTAGTAACATTATGATATCTATTAAGCTTGATTTCGGCTAGTTAAACTTATTCACAAATCAAAACTGGTTCTTGACCTGGCAACGAAAGGCCAATATGGTAGACTTCACATCTTTGAATTTACCTGTAGTGTAAAATTAACATAGTAAGATTTTTTTTTTAAATTGAGATACCTTCTTTTTCTCTTCTATTATGACTGCTACCATTCTGTATTTTCTAACGTCCTCGAAATTTAACAGAGATACAGTTCACTCAGAAGTAAAACCCAGAATTATCTTGAATGTAAAAATGTTTTCCAGAGGCCCAAATGTTCATCTTTAGAGAGTAATCTGGTGTGCGTATAGCACAGGGCTTGTATTATTCAAGGTCCTGGTACCAGTTCACTAGCCTTGATTCCATGTTTACAACTAGCAACCTATGCTTAATAAGAACATATCATGGGATCAATTGAGCCAAAGGCCTGTATGGGCCAACACATACAACTTGTCTGTCTGTCTCTGTCTCCTTCTGTTTCTTTCTCTCTCCCTTTTTCCTTTTTCCTCTGTGTCTCTTCTCTGTCAGTCTGTCTCTCCTCTGTGTGTCTGTTTCCATCTCTCTCTGTCTCTCCCTCTCTCCCTCCCTTCATCTCTGTCTCTGTCTCACTGTCTATCTGTCTCTGCCTTTCTGTCTGTCTCTGTCCCTCAGGCACATTTTCTCTGTGTGTCTTTGTGTTTCTCTGTGTCTTAATCTCTCCCTCTCTCACAAGCACACTTTCTCTGTCTCTCCCTCTCATTCTGTCTCTGTCTCTCTGTGTCTACCTATCTATCCATCTATCTGTCTGTCTCTTTCACACACACACACACACACACACACACACACACACACACATACACAAAACACTCTGGAGAGTTTTACCCATTCTTAATTGGGTTAAAAGTACTTACTTTCCAAGTCTTTGCAAACCTTTCTGCCCTCTGATCCCAGGCCACTATGCAAGCTGATATGAGCGTCCTTCTCATGTTCTTCACTTTGGGTTATTCATTCCACCCTCCTCCTGTCTCCAACATGTTGAGGTTGGGCATCAAAATTTTTTAAAAAGCAGACTTCACTGTTTTATTCTGCCCCCTCTTCCACCTTCCTGAAATCAGGTGGAAAGGACAAAGAACCAAAGTGGAGATTAGCAAATAAGAGTCCGACAAAAGGTCTGTGACCAAATAACATAGTGTTCTGTCCCCTCCTGCCTTGCTCCTTCCTCTGCAGGAGCCTCTCTGCAGCCTGCTCCAAGCTTTGAGGGTTGAAGGCAGCTTGATCCACTGCACTTTGTCTACTTTTCCTCAGCGTTGTCGGCTTAATGAGCCTTCCCCTCCACTGCCTATACAACTCCAGTATATGAGACCCTGTGTACTTCGCCTCTACTTTTACTAGTGTGTGGTACTCTGGACAGAGACTCCACCCCACCCCACGCCCACCCCCAATGGAATTGGCTGCTCTCCCACCAGTATCCCCAAACCCTCCCTATTCGTTCTCTGCCGCCTTCCCTGCTTGTAGCTGGAGAGCTGTCCAGCAGCTTCCTCCTTAGGGCCCTTCTAAGTATGGACAAATACAAAAGAGGTGGCTTTCTTCTCTCCTCAGGTAGAGAAGGTGATACATATCTTTCCTGCCCATCAGTCCTCTAATCTGTGGGGGAAGGGTGTGTGTGTGTGTGTGTGTGTGTGTGTGTGTGTGTGTGTGTGTGTGTGTGTGTGTGTGTGTTGGATCTCGCTGGCAATCTAGTGAAGCCTATGGACCCCTTCTAAAACTAATATTTTTTAAATTAATAAAACATATAAGACTATGACTAAAACCAATTATATTGAAAGAGTTATGAAAAATTTTACAAAACTAGCTCACAGACCCCAGCTTCAGTACCCTTAAAGTTTCTTCCTGACAGTTTAGATAAGAAGAGGATAGCTCCAGAGTTTGAGAGAGGGTGTTCAATTTAAGTGTACAGAGAAATTGTCTGCCCCAAAAAAGAGGAGGCCACTTTGAGTGTAGTTAATTCACAGGACTGAAAGCTGGAAAGGACCTTAGAGGTCATTA